ACAGACGACCCCGTAACAATATGCGTTTTGTACTGCTGTTACACAGCACAAAACGCATAAAAAAAGAAACTGGTATTAGTCAGTAAGCAATCAACAAAGGAGTCGAAAGTTAAAAAGTATACAACTTGATGGGCCGAAACGTCTTAATACCCGCCAACTTAAGTTTTTAGTTTCAATGTTTCCAAATTTACTTCACAGGTAGCTGATATTTACTTCTTTTGAAATTCTGTTTACAATAACAAGTAACTTAACATCTGTTAATAAATGTCACATAAATATTTACTTTTTGGAAATCTCTGACCACTAAAACTTCACTAACGGGCAAAAGTAATCCCGTGCTAATAAAAGTTTTCCTAAGTCGTTTAATAGTGTGCCTAGCTTGCCCTTCTTTTCAGTGCAACGCGAACTTTATGGACATCGATACCGAGGTATACGACTTACGTCAATCCCGAGCAGCTGTCAGATCGGGAAATGGCACTGTATAAACTGTATAGGCCTGAACGTGAAACACCAAAGAAGCGTGGTGTTGATCTCCTCAAAGATAGCCGATTGAATAAGGTACCATTTTTCGAGCTTTTTGGAGCACTCATCAGGATTTCTTTGATTACTGTTGCGGACTTGCTGTGGTACCGACACTTGTCGAACGTACCTATGTGTGACTTTTCTGTTCTCAGCTAAAGGAATGTTCCGCGAAATCTCGATTTCCCAGCTTGCTAGGTTTTAGAATAATGAAAGAAATTTGGTGGTTGTTCCGCTGACAGCAAATAAAGGCAAATTTTTCAATTTTTTTAAATTTATTACTGGCGGGTTTCCAACATTCTAAACCCAGAGGCGGGCAATCCAGAATTTAAGACATTCTGGATGTTTAGGGTATGGCATTTGGCTTGTACGAGCGACAGTATCTTGGAATTCATGGCTTGCTTCCGCCAGCATTTATGACCGAAGAACAGCAAGCATATCGAGTAATTACCAAACTTCGAGAGCAACCGGATGACTTAGCGCGATACATTCAGCTGGATGGCTTACAAGTTTGCCATATATTCTTTTAAACTGAAGAAGTTCCGGGATTTTCCAAGCCGTTTGTATGGTTTTGAAAATCCGAAATCTTGGAATCGTGATTTTCATTATAATTCAGCTATTCAACATTACGTATCTAGATTATATTTTGGCTTCTGCTTAATTAATTTGTGCGTCCTCTGGTCAAATTTACCTAAATATTTACAGCGGTCAAATTTATCTCTCAAAAATATGCAATTCTGTGTGTCCTCGGCGCTTGAGAACTAAAAAAAAAAGCACTTGTTTTTTTTAACTTCCCTTCTTCTTGCTCCCGTCCCCATCGACTACCTCAATGACGAATTCACAAAGCAAGTTGTTTTTCAGGATCGTAATGAGAAATTATTTTATCGTGTACTGTGTGAAAACGTCAAAGAGTTAATGCCAATTGTTTACACGCCAACTGTTGGTTTGGCGTGCCAGAATTTTGGCTACATTTACCGCAAACCAAAGTAATTTATGCTTTCCAAGAATGCTTTTATGGTGCAAAAAAGCAGAACTGCTTCTTCAAAAACGAGTAGCAAATCCAGGACTGGATTTATTTAGAGGGAAAAAGGCTATCTTTTTTGTGTCCAAGCTGTCTTGTTTAATTTTGAGAAACATAGCAAAAATCAATGCCTCTCCAGAACTTACTTCTTGTGAGTGACCAGGAGACTAGGAATTAGATAGATACGCCAGAAGTACATCCCATTAGTAACACCGTCGACGGTTGTTTCTTTCAAAGGCTGCTTTAAAAGTAAAAAATTGTTGGGGGTTTTGAGATCCCGATATGCCAGTGCCAATTTACCATCGAAACGAATGAATGAATAGCTGAGAGGTTGAATGCCCTTCTGTTGGAATAGAACCCTCAACTTCCAGTACAGGAAAGTATGCCATGCTCACTATACAAAATCTGATCTCTGATTAATTGAAATTCCTGGTGAGATTCGGTCATTTACTCGTGGTAAAAATTTTGTAATTTGCTGCATTACATTGAAATCATCAAAATATTTTTTTTTGTGTGTTACAGGGGATTATATATTACTATTAATGATAACAGTATTAGCAAAATTCATCACATCTTGTCAAACTGGCCAGAAACTGACGTCCGGGTAAGATTTTGGGAGAAATAAATTCTTTTCTTTCTTAAAAAAATCGCTGTTCAGTCTTTGAATGTGTTAATTTTTGGATCAGGACGACTGATTTAAACTAAGTGATTCGGACCTAAGTATGGGCAAAATCTTCCAAAACTCCATCCTGTATACTGATATATGTATAATTTGCTGATATTAAATATGTTTGTGCATTTTTTTTTATTCTGAAATTAGGGTCTTTTTTTGTATGTCCGCAACTCTACAGCTGTTTCTCTGAAATTTTCTATTTTCGAGCACATTTTTTTGAAAATTGAAACCTCTTTTTTCGCATGCTTTGATTAAAATCTTTTTTCGCATATTTCGCAAAATTAAAATCTTTTTTTGGCATAAAATCTTTTTCGCAGTTTTCAGGCAATTGTGGTGACAGATGGTGAGCGGATCCTTGGTCTGGGCGATTTGGGATGCTACGGTATCGGAATACCGGTGGGCAAATTGGCACTGTACGTGGCTTTGGGTGGTGTTCAACCAAAATGGTGCCTGCCTGTGTTGATGGACGTGGGAACGAATAACGAGGTAATTAAATTAGTGTTTTTTTTTTGCTGTGTTTGACAAATTACCAAATTATGACTAATGGCCTGCATTCTGCGCGATTTTATATTTGCATTTTTTTTCCTTTTGCGAAAAACGATGAAAGAGGTCAGGTTTTTTTTTTTCTGGTAACGAGTTGATAAGTTTTGTGGAATTTCGCATCTCTCAGTTAGTTTTCGCTACCCAACGAGTCTGCATGGTTGGAAGTAGCCCAAAACAGAGAGCAATGGAAAAATTGCCAGCCGCATCAATGGCGAGGAGAAACCTGGCAGTGAAACAGCACCTGAGTAAAGTTGCAAAATACTGTATTTCTGGACGTTTTCAGTCTTCATTTCAATTTTTCGTTTTCTAGGTTTTCGATATATCTCAGCAACTTATTTTAGGAGCTTTTGCACGATCCGTTTTACATTGGCCTTCGTCGAAAGCGTGTTCGCGGGGAAGAGTACGATCGTCTTGTGGATAACTTTTTGTTGGCCTGCACAAAAAGGTAGTGAAATTTACATGAATATGCAGTTTGCAGCTACTTAAAGTCTACTTATATTTGCAAGAAACTGAACAAAATTTGCTTGAAATGTAACGGATTTTAGGTGAAATTTGATAAAATTTGCGAAACGTTCGAGGGAATTTGCAGGAAACCTGCAATGAAGTGTTGTTATCACTTTTAAATTACATAGTTCATCTTGCTGGCACCATTTTTATTTTTTATAAGTTTTTCAAGGTTTGGCCGAAAAGTACTTATTCAATTCGAGGATTTTGCTAATCAAAATGCGTACCGATTGCTGGAAAAATATCGCAATAAATATTGTACATTTAACGATGACATTCAAGGTTACGCTTTTTCATCTGCCTTCAATTCACTGAATTACACATGTTGTTCGTTTTGTCTCCAACTTATAAGCGTTGATTATCCACGAGTGTACCTGCGGAATGCGTAACCACCAGTCTAGCTGCTCCCCACATTTTGGTGTGCAAATGTTAATTGAAGCCACATCTACAAAATTAGTATTGTCGCCAACAGATCGCCGTTTTTGCAAAAGGCACGGGTTACAACGGAACAGAACCTCCATTTTACTGTCTTCAGATCCTTCGAATCGTGACGTGTTATCCATTACACTACCGGCTCAGGCTGCTCCTGTCGGTAGATGGTGAAATAGCAATTGTTTATGCCACTCATATACATACTACATTAACTATCTAACGCTGCCACCATGTGCAGCAGCACACTTTTTAATTCTCGCCGGCTTCTTGAGGGTATTCTCTACACACACATAGTCTAGGCTGAGGGAGACCTAAATTAATTACGTTGACCGCATGAGATATATCTCGATTATAATGGGGCTGCATGCCGATTGTCCGAATGTGTTGAATTTTTTTAGTAGATTTGGGCCTGCTACCACTACTAGATGAGTTTTTAATATTATCTTACTGTGCAGGAACAGCTTCGGTTGTGGTTGCTGGCTTGCTAGCTTGCTCGAAATATACTGGTCGACCGCTTGCTCAAGAAAAATTTGTTTTCCTCGGTGCTGGTACCGTAAGTTTTTCTCAACTTGCTTTAATCAGGAAAAATGTGTTGTAACAACTGCACATCCGTGTGCGTTTGTACGCAACGTGTCTGTAAGTGTGTACATACACAGATAACCTCAACTTAGACAGAAAACTAGGAAACTGAACAGAAAAGCCACTTTCTTCCTAAGAAAATAAGTTACATACTTGGGCAAGCTGTAACTTATGGGTTGATTCTTCAGCTGTACACTAGCAACCTTGACCAGTACTGCGCTACATGGAATTCTGCCTGCTCATTTCGTCTCCCAAAGGAATTATCGGCTTAACAATCCTCCTCCCTACAAAAGCATTTGATAAGGCTTCAGTGGTTTCAAGACTATATTGTTATCACCTCGTCCCCATGGCCGCTACTTCCTAGGTATTAATGAAAGATGCCGCACTGTCTAGAAGGAACATAACAAAGAAACGTGATTTCGCTGTAATGCATTTCAAAAAAGTGAAATAGCTAAACGATAAAGATCTTCCTGTCCACTGGTCAACAGAAAGCACTGTCAACAGAAAGCACTGGTCACTAAATTTTAATGCTCTTAATCATTCTCAAAATAAGCTTTTCTTTAAAGGCATCAATGGGTATCGCGGAAATGTGTGTGGCGCAAATGTTAACCGAAGGACTGACAAAAGAGGAAGCACGCGATCGTATTTACTTGATGGATATCGATGGTCTGATAACGAAACGTCGCGAAAACATGAATGATTTACATCGACCGTACGCAAAAGATTTGCCCGAAACGAAGAACTTATTGGAGGTAGTTATAAATTTTCTACAAAACCATCACAGTAATTAAATGGATGGGATATCCACTTAGATATCCACTAACATGGGATATCCACACGATAGTAGGTGATTTCGGTATTCTTGATTCTTTGGATTTCATTTTCTCGCATGGTTATGTCTTCCAGTGTTTCCAAGTCCAATAAAAATTCGCGGTTTATGTCTGTTAACCTGGATTTTCAGGTGATAAAGGAAGTGAAACCAACAGGCCTGATTGGCGCATCAACGGTACGTGGTGCATTCAATGAAGAAATTATTCGTACCATGGCGAAGCTGAACAAGAATCCTATTATTTTTGCGCTCTCAAATCCCACAAGTAAGGCCGAATGCACTGCGGAAGAAGCATACCATTACACGGATGTAAAGTTTTTCGCTAATTTCCAAGGCTTTTTGCATGAAAATCAGAAATTCGGGATCAGAATCCGTTTTGGTTACCGGAAAATCGCGGCTTAAGTTCTGTAAGATTTAAAAATTCTAGGAAATTAAGCAGATGTGTCGAGGAATTTTTTTGGTGGTTCAAAAAAGCACTTCCCTGACATTGTGCTTCTTCTGGACCAAGGAGCTAATTAAGGTCGTAGAATGGGTACAACAAAAGAATGTGAGACGGCTACGAGAATATGATTTTAGAAGTAGTTTTGCACGGAGTTTTCCATTTGAGATCTGTCAGGTTGAGTCGAGTGAATAACTCCTTCTCTCCCCCCCCCCCCCCCCCCCCCCCCCCCCCCCCCCCCCCCCCCCCC